TTTTGCTTTTCATGTTGCCATAAGAAATGAAAAGTGTCTTACAGTTTTCTTTTATCATATAATCATCTACACTGAGTTTGCAGAATTTTGGTGGATTTCTGTAACACTTGATATTTTCTCATCTACAAGTAAATGAACAAACTTGGCAGGGAACCAAAGGTCTGAGTCTAGTGACTAAGACAAGGTCAACCTTGATGCTCCAAAAGATGATCACTGAGGGCCCAGGAATTCTTCCCTGCAGGTTTTCAGCCTGTTCCCACCAGCTTTGGAAGAGCCCTTTATAGGGACAGATGTGTAGAGCCCTGAAAGCTGGGGGCCCACAGCAGATGTGGTTGATGGAAGTGGAGGGGGAAGACACATGCTTCCTGAGGTGTAATTGGTATTGTTCTGGTGGTATTTCTATTGTCCAAGAGAATAAAATTGACATTCCATCTTATTGTCTACTATAATGAATTCTTCATTATATCGGGAAGTATTGCTTGGGGGAAGCATGAAGTATAAGATCGGCAAGTATCACCCACAAGGGCTCTCTTTGACAGGGAAGAGCACACACGTGTAGAAACAAGATGGGAGATGATGGCAGAATGGAAGGTGCCTAAATAATTTGCCAGGTCAGGAGATGTTTCATGCTGCAGTCAGATAATTCTTAGAAGGGGCATAAGGAGGGGCTAGATTTTGAACTCAGACATAGAATTGGACAAAGGTCAGGGTCCTGGGGGAGGAAAATTATCTTCAGCAAAATTTGATGAAGATTTATGACAGATGTGAACTGAGACTGTCCTCATTCCTATTTTTCTGTTTCTGTATTGCTCATGAACGTACACAGGGCACTGGCTGTACCCCTGTATGTGCCAGACCCAAATCTGCAGGTCCAAATTCTGAGTCCAGGTCTTTAGACACAGCTGCCTTCTCTCACCTTTGGAGAACTTAAAGTGCCTGCAAACTGCCATGCCTCAAGATTGTGATTGGTGGTCTTCTTTGAACCAGAGATTTTACAAAGTGTTGAGCAGAGGGGACTCTGTGCTGTGTTTGCTTTCTCCACCTGAGCGCTGCTACAGTCTAAAAGGAGTTACAGCAGCAATAAGGGGAATTGTTAAACAAGTCACTCCATAGACTCACTCAAAACCTGCAAAATTTTAACTGATCCCAAGATGTCTATTCCTTCCTGAAAAGTCAAAGTCACGATGCAAGAGTTGGTGAAAGAAAAAGCAGTTTATTCAGGAGCAATATGGGGAGATGGCTGACTAACTTTAGAAAGACCACCTGATGTTCCTCAGTTGACCAGAAGGTGGTGAAAGGGGAAAGGAGCTTGGGAAACTGTGTAGGTCTAGATGTCTCATAGTAACTGTTTCTTGCCATCTGGCAGTCTGGCTGGTTGAGCTAGACCAAAATTGAAATATTGGTTTACTGTTCACTATTTTCCTTCCTTAATTCCTATGGTGAGTGGGGGGCACTCAGCGCCTGTAGCATAATGGTTATAGTGCCGGCCACATGTACTGAGGCTGGCAGGTTTGAACCTGGCCGGGCCCAGCTAAGCAACAATCAAAACTGCAACAAAAAATAGCTAGGCATTGTGGCAGGTGCCTGTAATCCCAGCTACTGGGGAGGCTGAGGCAAGAGCATGAGAGCATCGCTTAAGCACAAGAGTTGGAGGTTGCTGCGACCTGTGATGCCATGGCATTCATCCAAGGGCATATTGTGAGACTGTGTTTCAAAAAAAAAAAAAATTCCTATGGGGATTCTGAAATCTTCATTTTTATTTAATGCTTCAAAACAATTGGTGAAATTTTTGTTTCTTTTTTTGAGACAGAGTCTCACTAGGTCACCCTCCGTAGCATGGTGTGGCATCACAGCTCACAGCAACCACAAACTCCTGGGCTCAAGCCACCTTCTTACCTCAGCCTCATGAGTAGCTGATAATAGAGGTGCCCACAAAAACACCTGCTGATTTTTAGAGACAGGGTCTCACTCTTGCTCAGGCAGGTCTGGAACTCCTGAGTGCTGGGACTATACGCGTGAGCCATAGGGCCGGCCTTCTTCCTAAATTCCTAAGCAACGACATAAACAGGCATTGTTCATATAAAGTGATTATTTGCTTGGAAGTAGAGTAGGTGCTGCTGTTGCAGAATCAAATACTTGGAGTGGGCATAATGCATATGTATGCATATTAAACCTTGAGAGGTGATGCTTAACTAAGTGGTCCTCAGCCCAGGCCAGTAGGATTTCATGGCCAGTTTGAAGAAGCACCTCAACTGTGACTCTGCCTTCCCACAGATTCTGTGAGTCTGGGTTGTGTCATCCTATGGTTTTCATTAAGTGCCCCCATGTGATGCTAAGGTGAGGCAAGGATCAAGCATGAGAGCTTCCATGTACATTTAAGACAATAGAGTTTATTTATTTTTTTTCAGAAAGAGGTCACAGGGCCCATATTTTCATTTCCATAGCAGGCATTGCTGGCAGGGGAGGGCACTGGAGGTCAAGAAATAAGAAACGTGTACTTTGGTCTTTATGTGGAATCTCCTCCTCCCTGACTCCTGTGATAAAGAACAGGAAAGGGTGAAATGTTTTCTGTACTTCGAGGTCCCTCTGTCTGTGGATATGGTAGGTGGTAGTAGTGCAGGGGTTAGGGTGATGCCTTTAAAGGCATGTGATCAAGATGCAGGAGTAACATGTCCAGATACTCTCCCCTGAGAAGGAAGTCAAGGCAAGGAGGAGAAAGAGAAAGAAATGATTGCTCCTCAGGTAAATGTGTCCAAGGTCTAGTGCTGTGCCCTCTGTTTCTCCTGCACTATCATGTTCTTAGAATTTGCCAACCTTTACGTCTCTTGTGATGTTCCTGCCCAATGAGTTTCTTTCAAATACAAGTTGATTTCTTATAATAGTCAAGGGGTTCCAAAAATCCTTCTCCTTCACATATATGGTGGAGTCTTCCTTCTGTTCTCTTCATCCAAGCTTCTGATACATCCTAAAAAATTCTACCTTAAATTTATATCTTGAAATGGTGAAAATGTTCCCTTTCTCTCTGCTGAAAATGGGAAAATGTGGATGCCCAAGATCCCCATTGTGGATGAGGTTGGGTCATTGGCTGTTAGCAAAGAAGGGGAATATGTGCAGCTTAGCTTCCATCTGGAAGTTCTGTCAGTTCTGCATAGAATGAGATGAAGCACATGCACTTTT